GCTTTTATTATGCCACAGTCGACCGCTTCCACTCCTTCCGGTCGTGTGTATGTGGGGTAAAGCAGCGCTGTTTTATCATACTAGATGCATTTGAAAATTCTGTTATAATGCTACTCTGTGCGGTCGTCACCGGTCTATTAAAACACACAACATATTAAAGCGTCTTTGGTGTTTCCATGTTTTCTACAAAACAAAACCGGAAATCGAGAGGTTATGACGTCACTGGCAGGCGACACAATGACACTATGGACACAGTCCGTGTCACTAGCTAAAATTGCTTATTTCTCTGGATTTAAACATTCTTGGAAACATTTGGGATAATGCAAGTACACAAGTCAGCAAAATATATAACACTGTTCTAGTGGTTTTTGGATATTTTAATTAAAAAATCTTATATTGTGCCTTATCTTAATAATCTTATATTATTTTTTTTTTTACTAACCAAAAGAGAGAAGCACATCATTGTTAATTCAGTGGTAAGTAATTAATGTAATGTTATCCTACTTAAAGTCAAATAAATGTTAAATGTCAATCTCATTTAATGCTCCTTATGATGGTTAAATGTGCTCTGATTATCTTTAATGATTAAACAATATAGTTTAAAACAAGACATGGTTTGTAGTACTGATTATTGAGGTCCATATCCGTCTGTCTTCCATGACGCTTACTCTGCCAGATGCTGGGTTGCTGGATGTTTACTGACATACAGCAGCGGTATCGGAGTACATAACGTTAGGAAAATGGCTGAAGCGGGGCCAGTCTGAGGTGCTTTCCCTATAGCATCGTAATAAATCATTATCTTGAGCAAAATTAGCAAGCTGACAAGTACAATGTATATATTTTATTTTGAATATATAAAAATGCCATTTACATATTTTAGTTTGCCAGATTTTAAGCACCGTTTTTGAGAAGTGCGCATGTGCGTACGTTACGTGCTCTAGTACGCAAGAAAGAGATTGAATCTGGAAATAAAGCAAAATTAAAAAAAAAAATTAAAATTAGTCCCCAGATGCCATGTCCGTAATTTATAGCAAAAAAATCTAGCATTAATTCGATCTCAAACGTATTCATTTAAAAAAGCTATTGCTCCACCGCCTGCGTGACATCATTCACCAACGTGGTTGAACGACAGGTGTGCAAAAATATGGTTTCGGGACAGTCGTGACTAGCTAGTTGATTTGTTCAACGATGCATCGTAAAGCAGTGAGTTACGTCGTTGTACGAAAAACGCACCCTATATTAGCAAAAGAGTGTGAGATTGATAGTAGGTGATTGACAGTTTTGCATTAATGAAGTATTTTGAATTAGAAAATGAGTTCTGATTGAAGAGGAAGAATTCATATTCCATTGTTTCACCTGTCAGCATAATGCAGTATAGTACAAGATCACTACAATAGTATGTCAAAGGTCTAATTAATAATTACAGTCTGTAGTGATTATTATGGATGGTGCTAACTGCCCCAACAAAAAACTAAAATGTGAGATCTCACCTTTTTCTCTGTTTTACTTACAGGTTGGATTTTGTTTCCTGGAAATTCCAGAATTTTGCCCTTATTGCTGAATTTGGTGAGTCCCAAAGTAATGTGAACATTATTTCCATGTGTTTTAAATGGGCATGACTAACACCAGAGAATATCTTTAAAATTTCCACAGAGGTACGTGACCGTATGAAAATATAATTCGGCTCACTTCATGTCAGTATTTAGTTTATTTGACTTTTTTTTATTACATTTAGAGAATTATAAATACAAAATAACCCCAAATCAAAACTAATCAAGAAGTTACCCACCAATTTAATGTGGTTTATTTTATCAGACAATAAAAAATAAAAAAATGCTGTTATTTCTTGCAGCTTCAAATGTCCTTAATTTATCTAAAATATTAAACTTAAAAAAACAACAACAAACTGTTTCTATAAATTAAATGCAACTATACCATGCTTTTTTCCCCCCTAGTCTTTCAATGAATGTGGAAATGCAAAGACTGTGGTACTTCTGTTTCACGAAGATCTGAGCTCCTTAAGCATTATAAGCTTGAACACAGACATTATGGACGCCACCATTCCTATGCATGCATCTATTTCAACTGTCCTTGTACCTGCAAGACTTGGAAGGCACTTTTGAGCCACTTGTCAAGAAGTCATCAGTCCTCCAAACTGAACTGATCTCATTTAAATGTCTCTTATGCAATTGCAATCAACCATCCACTTCGAAAGATGTCACTATTTTTTGAATATTCGATTAGTTGATTTAATTATCGAATATTGAATGGGTTGTGCGATTATTGTCTTAAAAAAATTCCCCATGTTTTTGGTGCTGATGTGGTGCTCACATGCACACTGTAGACTTGTGTGGCATATAAAAGAGACTTTAAAATTCTAGGGTTAGTTCACCCTGAAATGAAAATTCAGTCATTAATTACTCACCCTCATGTCGTTCCACACCCATAAGACCTTTGTTCATCTTCGGAACACAAATTAAGATATTTTAATGAAATCTCAGAGGCTTTTTTATCCTCCCATTAAAAGCATTTTTTCCCCCTTCCCTGTTAGTCTGTTATGCAGTTGGCACAGTGCTGCGTTTCTGTGTTTAGGTCCAAACACCAGCTTATTATTGGCCGGCTCCTGCGTCAGCATCACACACATGCCTCGTGCTGTTCACGTCAAGAGATGTTGGCCAATAGTGAGCCACCGTTGAACGTAGAACCTGGAAGCGCTGCAATGAAAATATCATAGCAGAATGACTGGGGAGAGATTAATTTGTTAAATAAAGTCGTTGTTTTTTGTTTTGCTCACAAAACAGTATTCTCGTCACTTTATAACATTAAGGTTGAACCACTGTAGTCACATGGACTATTTTAACAATGTCTTTACTACTTTTCTGGACAATTTCGTTGCTTTCAATGGAGGATTTAAAAAAAACTCTCAGATTTCATCAAAAATATCTTAGTGTTCTGAAGATGAACAAAGGTCTTACAAGTTTGGAACGACATGAGTAATTAATGACACAATTTTCATTTTTGGGTGAACTAACTCTTTAAGAATGACAATGAACCCACCATTCAAGCAATCGCCGCTCCTGAATTGGCGCTAATTTGAAAGTGAAGGTAAAATGCGCACGGTCGCATGGACATTCATAATGGTTTGTGTCCACTCGCTCTGTGCTGAGCATGTGTTGTTAGTTCATTCCTATTGGCCGTGTGCATTTTACTTTCGCTTTCACTCCTCCCCCCTCATTTGTTTGTTTATTATATTAATGTTTCAGCACATTACAATCATTATATCATGGCTCATGCAAAATGAGATCAAAATGCAAAATTGGACTTCATAATAATGCATTGTGTGTGTGTTTGCGCTCTCACCTAGAGCCTTGAGGTGAATCAAAAAAGGGAGTGTCTCCTAAAATGCCTTATGGTGTACCTTGGGGAAGATGTTGACCATCTAATCAAGGAGTATCTGGTAAGTAGTTTTGCATGAATCACTTAAAGGGTTAGTTCACCCCAAAATGAAAATTGTCAATAATTACTCTTCCTCATGTTGTTCCAGACCCGTAAGACTTTCGTTCTTCGGAAGACAAATTAAGATTTTTTGATGACCGAATGCTGTCAGATTTCCTTCCATAGTCTGCCTTTGCACTTCAAAAAGTTCATAAAGAGATCAGAAAACTAATCCATAAGAATCGAGCGGTTTAGTCCAAATTTTCTGAAGAGAATTGATCGCTTGTTATGACGAACAGATTTAATTTAGTCTTTTACTCGCATGTAAACATTGATCAGAAGCTAAACCTAACTTGAATAACACAAGATACTATCTCTTCCGGAAGCACAAAAGTGCTGCATAACACACGAGTATGAACCTCATTGGTTACGCAGAACGTTTGAGCTTCCGGAGGATGTTTGTTCTTGTGTGTTATTCACGGTCAGTTGAGCTTCTGCTTATGTTCGCTGATCAATGTTTACATGCGAGTAAAAGACTAAATTAAATCTGTTCATCATAAGCGATTGATTCTCTTCAGCAAATTTGGACTAAACTGCTTGATTCTTATGTGCTGGTTAATAAATTGTATATTATATTTTTGTAGAACACTGTATATTATATCTTAATCACATTTTTTTATATTTTTTCCTTCAGAGCAGCTGCAGTGCAGATGGTCATAAAATGGAAATTGTATCCAAATATTGCATTGTGGAAAGTGTCGGTCTGTGTCCAGATTCTAAAATTAATGAAAATTAGCCCACAAGGCAGTTGTATTTGATTTTTTAAACATTATAGTGAATCTTATTTGAAGTATGTGTACTAAGCCACCACATCACGTTGGAATTGTTATCAAAGGGATGCAGGTCCCTAATGACTTGCCATCAGTCCCACATGCATGTGCCTTGTTGTTTGGCCTCATCTACATTCTAAATTTGAGCTACCCAAGTAAACTCAAACGCACCTTTGAGGCTCTACAGAAAATATTCATGGAGATAGAACCCAAGAAAATGGCACACGGAGTGTTCAGTCTGAGTGTCAAGCTCTAAATATTGGAGTAATCAAAGACATTTGGATACCGAATGTGTTTTATTGCGTTAGATCTTGAATTCAAATACATTCCATGAATAATGGAAGGGGCCATTGTTAAATATAAGTAAGAGAGAAACAGACTTTAATTCAAAACGGTCTTTAATTTCAGATTTTCTGTTATCTGAGCTGTTTCTGTGTCATAAATATTGAGGCACTGATATCAATGTGAATAATGCAAAATTCACAATGGCAGCAATTGTAATGATGTTTTACTTAAAGGGTTAGTTCACCTAAAAATAATGTAATTTATTACTCACCCTCTTGTTGTTCTACACCCATAAGACCTTCATCTTCAGAACACAAATTAAGATATATTTGATGAAAGCCGATGGCTCAGTGAGACCTCCATTGACAGCAATGCCACTGAGCCTCTCAAGATCCAGAAAGGTACTAAAAACATATTTAAAACCGTTCATGTGAGTACAGTGGTTCTACCTTAATATTACAAAGTAATGGGAATAAAACAAAATAATGACACGTAATATCTAGTGATGGGTCATTTCAAAACACTGTTTTGAAGCTTTACGAATCATTGGTTTTTAATTAGTGGTTCGGATTGCGTAAACAAAATCAAAATGACTGAAATCACATGACTTTGGCGCTCCGAACCACTGATTCGAAACAAAAGATTCATAAAGCTTCACGAAGCAGTGTTTTGAAATTGCCCATCACTAGATATTGTCATTAAGTCATTATTTTGTTTTTTTTGGGGTGCACAAAGTATTCTCATCGCTTCATAACATTAAGGTTGAACCACTGTAGTCACATGAACTGATTTAAATGTCTTCAGTAGCTTTCTGGGCATCTGAAAGTGTTAATTATCTTGCTGTCAATGGAGGCCTCACTGAGCCATTGGATTTGATCAAAAATATCTTAATTGTCTTGCGGTGTAGAGCAATAGAGGGTGAGTAATAAATTACATAATTTTCATTTTTGGGTGAACTAACCCTTTAAACTGACTTGTGCACTCAAGACCAAACTTTGTTCATGGATTGCACCCCAAGCAGTTGAACTGTAGTGTTGTTGTTTTTCTTTTTTTGGTTCTTTTGATTTTGCATTTGTAATAGGGTTAATGGTCATTTCTCTCAATTTATCTCAAAGGTTAGCAGTGTTAACGGTTTACTTATTTTACATATTTCAAGTCTTGAAGGAGAGTTGTAGAAAAGATTAACATACCACATTAATGTGGTTAAGGTTACAGAAAGGTTGATTTTGCATTTGTAATAGTTCAAAATAATGTGACGTTCATACATCCTGGTAATTTTGTAAAATGATAGCCATGTTTTAAGACCGTTAGTTCTATTCTTATACTGCTTAATGGTTTTTACATTACATATCTCAAGTTTTCAAGGAGAGGTGTACAAAACAGTTTTACATTAATGTGGATAAAGTTACAGAAAGTTGACAATTAAAAAAAAAAAATCTTGAAAAGACCATTTTATTTGAGTGTTTTTCCATCAATTGTTGATGTGTAAAGCGCATACAGGCTAGTCTAACTGGCAGCATAATTCAGTTGGCTTTTTTTTTTCTCAATTTTTTTGACAGAAGGTGATGCATATTTTAAAAAGACATCAAAATAAACGGGGGGGATAAAATGTAAACACATTTTTTTTTCTTCAAATACTCAAAAATTCCTCTGTTGGAACAAGAAACAACGTAACATAATGTAAATAATTATATTATGTTAAATTAATGTTTCTTGTTGGCCAACAGATTGCCAATCTGTTCACGTTCACTAATTTGTAAGAAAATATGCCGTTTTTTGTGACAGTAAAATACATGTACAATACAGCTTAGCTGGGGAAAACGGCATTGAATGTGTTAAAATAGTTTCCCACACTAGCACCAGAAAGGACTAAGACGAAGACACTATAGGGTTAACTAAGCTTATCAAAACGCTTGACGTTTGCGGGGAGAGAGTCAGGCAGACGAGAAAACTGATTTGGTCTCGGGACACTGAATTGCCTCATGAAAGAGTTTCATGTACCCCTCCCTGTACACCGAAACAGTCGCAGTGCACGCGGACACCAGCGCCGCATACCATTGGCTAAGAGCGCAGCTTTACCTGTAGGACGGTGTGCCAACCAGACAGCAGGATAAACTTTTCTTTGCTCCGATCCACTTCAGGGATTTGAATTCATGCTCCAAAGATCATGGAGCCCGTAACGTCTTGGAGCGCCGAGAGAGTCAGCGAGTGGCTCAAAGGTAACGGGGTGTTTTTATGTTTGTGTGTGCGTTTTGTGGTGACTTTATGTCAAGTCGATAGAGAGATATGGCCGAATTAAACAGGAACAACACAATTCCCTAAGGAACAGATCGTGTTAGTGGAATGAGGAAGCGCCTTTTAGTTTGTTGACAAACTCTCGCGCGAAACTAACTCACAGCTGGTGAATACAAAAGCGATTTAACTTAACAAACAGTAATGTATTGACACGTCTTTCTTCATAGTCAAAGCGATCAAATCTGCTGCTGTCATTCTTTCTGCGAGTCCAGACTGGCCCACATCGCTCACTATGCGCATGTCTCTATTCCTCACGCTCATTTCTGACCAATGTTCTGTCTGTGGTTTCACTTTAACACTCGTACTCTCTAAAGTGACATTTGTTATATAATTTACAATGGTGTTTGTGTCGCTTTGCGTTTAAATTGTAGTTGCATTAGTAGGCTACTGGAGTATTACGTAATAATAGGCCTATTATGAACCTAATGCTTTGGTTAGTGGTTATATTGTGCGGTGGTTGCGTTTGAATAATTATTTATGTATTGATATATAATATAACTAAAAATGTAAAGTGTCACATGCATTCTGTAAAGTACTGCCGTAATTTTCACACTTTATTTTTACTATATTTTCCTATTATGTTATCATCATTACAGTGGCGTGATACTGTGAAGTAGGATAGTTGACCTTTTACGCCAGTGAATATTTACTTGTAGATTTGTCTACTAAAAGACAAAAAAGTTTTGAAAGATATTGCCCAGAAAAAAAGATACAGTTCATTATGACAATGTCCCCAACAGTGGGGCATGTTGTCACAATTCATCATGCCATTAAACAGGACTTTCAGCAAACTTAAAAATTATTTTATTTTTCAATTTAAAAAAACTGTTTAATATCTACTATACAATATTGAAAAAAATATTGTCAATTTAGTGTGCAGGACAGTATTAACAAAAACATTTTTGAGTTTTTGAATGAACAGGTTGTTTGACATCAAGAGATAACTGGAGAAAACACATGTTTGTGTGTATTTGGACTTTAATTAAAAACCTCACCGTGACTGAGATACAGCCCTTTTGACTTTCTAACTAGCCCTGGTGTCTTCTGTTATGCATTTAAAACACCTCCACCCACTAAAAATGTTTGTGTTTTTGAATCTGTATCTTAAAACGTCCAATAAGGTCTTCACCCTACTTTTGTAATTCAGCAGTTTCACACAGTTGCACAAAACAAAGGAATTCCACACATCTTTCATAATATTATAGCTCCTTGCTTTTTTCCTAAAACAAGTTTTGATAACACATATTCACTATTAACTAGAGTTTCCCCTCAATAAACTCGTAATTTGCTTCACACTGTAAGGTAGTTGTTGTAGTAGTTATGTTTAGGTATGGGGTAGAGTTAAGGAATCTAATATGGTATATCATGTAGAATAAGGCATTGATATGTGCTTTATAAGTACTAATAAACAACCAATATGCTAGTAATATGCATGCTAATGATCAACTAATTAATAGTGACTAGTGGTCCCTAATCTAAAATGTTACCTAAGCTTTTTCCTAAAACAGATCTTAACATAAATTTTCCTGACCTTTGAGTTCAAAGGAACAATTAGTTATTTCTAACAATTTATATACTATAAAATACAGTATAAGCATAATGAACTCATAATGAAAATATTAGTGCACTTTATTTGTGCACTTTATGAATGTGGACTAATTATGTGTGTGTAGTTTTAGTGTGATTCTGTTAAAGCTCTGAACCTATTAGACTGTGATAGAAGCATAGCCCCTTATCTCACTTGTTTATTTGTCTAATTGTTTGACAAATGTTGGACATTGTTGTATCTTGTGATCATTTAGGTTCTTAGTTTATGAGATCTCTAAAGGCAGAATAAATATATCAAAGCCAAATGTGATAACAAAGCCTTAGGCCTATTTCTCTGCTTTTATACTGCATATTATATGGGGTTTAATAAAACCAATTATAGTATAAGACTGTACATGTCTTATGAATCTAGACTAGAGAATAGTCTCCGGCAGTTATGAAATCTTTTGGCTGTGGATGTGGTTGCGTAAAATTCTCACACAAAGGAATTTTCTTCAGGGCCCAAAATCTTTGTGTTTCACCGGCTCAGAGAAATCAGTTTAAATCCTCAATGTTCACTGCTTTGAGTGTCACAACTATGAGCATACAGTTGTTTACACTGGATTTTCATCTTGTTCATTCCAAAATTAACAACAGAAACTTGTGTCACACGAGGGTTTCCAAAGTGATTTTTCCTGAAGTAAACACACAGTAGGTGTGTGTTTTAACATGACTTTCAACAACAGCTGGCTGCACAACTTCAGTGTGCATGACCCATATGCCTCCTGGGCACCTTCTTCATGCTAGGCCACTCATTTCCTTCCATTATAATGGATCTATGGAAATTGTTTTTGTACATGTGTGTGGATAGATCAGTGGGTTGTTTTTGAGCTCCCCATATAGCTGTTTCCTTTCATTCATAATGTGTTGGTATCTCTCCCTTTCTACTAAGTGCTCATTGACCTCATTTTTCTTTCTGTATTTTACTTGGGTCAAAGATCTTTTTTTATCATTAATTGCTATTTTTAAATGCACCCAAAGTTTAGGGTTGGGTTAGGTTTTTTTAAATAGTTTTGAAAGATGTCACTTATGCTTACTAAGGCTGCTTTTATTTTATGATGATAATAATAATAATAATAATAATAATGTGAATAATTATTACAATTTAAAATAACTGTTTTCTGTTTTAATATATTTTAAAATGTGATTTATTCCTGTGATGGCAAAGCTGAATTTTCAGCAATCATTACTCCAGTCGTCACATAATGCCTCAGAAATCATTCTAATATGCTGATTCGGTGCTTAATAACTATTTCTTATTATTATCAGTGTTGTAAATAGCTGTGCTGCATAATATGTTTTGAAAGTTTTTTTTTTGTAAGTTCATTTTTTGATTCTTTGATGAATATTAAGTTAAAAAAGCAGTATTTAAACTTTTGTAATGATGTAAAAGTCTTTAATTTGGTTTTGATCAATTTAATGCACCCTTGCCATATATTAAAAAAAACGTACTGGCCTCACACTTTTAATGGTAGTGTGTATATATGATAATATTTATATTTTCAGAATATTTATTGTAATAATATTATTGTAATAATATTTATATTATTATGATATTTTACATTCTTATCTAGTAACATTTAGTTATGTGATGAACTTCAAATCTCACTTTAATTCGAGCTATTCATGAGCTTAAGAGTCTCTGTGCTGTTTAATTTGATTGAACTTTGTGTCATATCTGTGTGTTTGTCAGGTCTGGATGCTCCTCTACAGCAGTACTCGGTCTCTGAATGGCAACTCTCTGGCTCAGATCTTCTGCATCTTTCATCTACCAGACTGGAGAAACTTGGAGTGCATAAAATAGGACATCAGGAGCTCATACTGGAGGCTGTGGAAAAACTCTGTGCTTTGGTAGGGCCCTTGAGTGTGTGTGCATGCATTCATCTTTGTGAGGACAAAATATGTAAAAATGCTTCCAGTAGAATAAATAATTCCAAATAATACCAAGAGGCGTGTTCAGTGCTAAGTTTACTCTGTTTATTATTAGCTTCTATTTAGAACAACGGGTCTGAATGGGCTGTTATAAAGAGGATAACGTTTGTATTTGAGTGTGTGTTTTGTGAATACAGGGTGTATTTGTATTGTAATAATCTTTCTGTTATTTCATAACCTGATATAATGTATTTCTGTATGAGTATTTGTTAGCGTTTGTGTGTCATATGCCTGTCTGCTAACCGTATTAGAGCCTCTGTTATGGAGGTGAGGAATGCTGTAGGACTAAAATCAGTCACACTCATTTATACTCTTATAGCATTAGTCTGTGACTGAACTGCTCTCTATACCATCTCTCTCCCTCTCTGTCTGTGATTCTCATTACATCTGTGAGAGTTGCTCACCCTGCTGACTTTAGCTGTATTTTCAGAGGCCTATAACACTAACAAAACTCAACCCAAATCTCAGGAAACATTCTTCCACAATTGTCTGGCCTATTTTTTAAAACAGTTTCCACTTCCATGCTTGTCTTCAGTCATCTTAGCTGTGTAATATCATGAATTTATAGTGTACATTACGTGCAGTTTCAAGGTGTTGGTATCTCTCCCTTTCTACTAAGTGCTCATTGACCTCATTTTTCTTTCTGTATTTTACTTGGGTCAAAGATCTTTTTTTATCATTAATTGCTATTTTTAAATGCACCCAAAGTTTAGGGCTGGGTTAGGTTTTTTTTTTAAATAGTTTTGAAAGATGTCACTTATGCTTACTAAGGCTGCTTTTATTTTATGATGATAATAATAATAATAATAATAATGTGAATAATTATTACAATTTAAAATAACTGTTTTCTGTTTTAATATATTTTAAAATGTGATTTATTCCTGTGATGGCAAAGCTGAATTTTCAGCAATCATTACTCCAGTCGTCACATAATGCCTCAGAAATCATTCTAATATGCTGATTCGGTGCTTAATAACTATTTCTTATTATTATCAGTGTTGTAAATAGCTGTGCTGCATAATATGTTTTGAAAGTTTTTTTTTTGTAAGTTCATTTTTTGATTCTTTGATGAATATTAAGTTAAAAAAGCAGTATTTAAACTTTTGTAATGATGTAAAAGTCTTTAATTTGGTTTTGATCAATTTAATGCACCCTTGCCATATATTAAAAAAAACGTACTGGCCTCACACTTTTAATGGTAGTGTGTATATATGATAATATTTATATTTTCAGAATATTTATTGTAATAATATTATTGTAATAATATTTATATTATTATGATATTTTACATTCTTATCTAGTAACATTTAGTTATGTGATGAACTTCAAATCTCACTTTAATTCGAGCTATTCATGAGCTTAAGAGTCTCTGTGCTGTTTAATTTGATTGAACTTTGTGTCATATCTGTGTGTTTGTCAGGTCTGGATGCTCCTCTACAGCAGTACTCGGTCTCTGAATGGCAACTCTCTGGCTCAGATCTTCTGCATCTTTCATCTACCAGACTGGAGAAACTTGGAGTGCATAAAATAGGACATCAGGAGCTCATACTGGAGGCTGTGGAAAAACTCTGTGCTTTGGTAGGGCCCTTGAGTGTGTGTGCATGCATTCATCTTTGTGAGGACAAAATATGTAAAAATGCTTCCAGTAGAATAAATAATTCCAAATAATACCAAGAGGCGTGTTCAGTGCTAAGTTTACTCTGTTTATTATTAGCTTCTATTTAGAACAACGGGTCTGAATGGGCTGTTATAAAGAGGATAACGTTTGTATTTGAGTGTGTGTTTTGTGAATACAGGGTGTATTTGTATTGTAATAATCTTTCTGTTATTTCATAACCTGATATAATGTATTTCTGTATGAGTATTTGTTAGCGTTTGTGTGTCATATGCCTGTCTGCTAACCGTATTAGAGCCTCTGTTATGGAGGTGAGGAATGCTGTAGGACTAAAATCAGTCACACTCATTTATACTCTTATAGCATTAGTCTGTGACTGAACTGCTCTCTATACCATCTCTCTCCCTCTCTGTCTGTGATTCTCATTACATCTGTGAGAGTTGCTCACCCTGCTGACTTTAGCTGTATTTTCAGAGGCCTATAACACTAACAAAACTCAACCCAAATCTCAGGAAACATTCTTCCACAATTGTCTGGCCTATTTTTTAAAACAGTTTCCACTTCCATGCTTGTCTTCAGTCATCTTAGCTGTGTAATATCATGAATTTATAGTGTACATTACGTGCAGTTTCAAGAAATAAATAGTACAGTAATTTCACTTCATTTTCAGATCATAAATGTGTTGATTGCTTCCTCATAGACTGAAGCTTCCCTTGAGCTGACAGTGGATGTGCTCCATGTGCTGTAAATGTTTTGCCCGCTGGGAGGATTAATGTGGACCTGTTGGTGCCAGGACTCCCTGTGTGTGTTGTAACAGCAATTAAGTCTTAACTGCTCCTGCTTTTCTATAGAGAAAATAGCAGAATAATAATTTTTTAGTAAGTTATAAAACCTAAAATGTATAAGGCATGAACCGAAGGTTGACCAGGACTTGGAGGGATATGTGGACATTAGTTATGCTAAGGTTGAGGGTATGTTTGTAGGATAGGAAATATGCCAGACATTTCAGAATAGGATGAAATGTACATAGTGAGTGAAAAAATTAAGTATAAATATTGCATATTTTATCTTTAAAATGTAGGTTATCTGTCTTCTAAATATATATGTGTATATATATACAGTGGGGCAAAAAAGTATTTAGTCAGCCACCAATTGTGCAAGTTCTCCCACTTAAAAAGATGAGCGAGGCCTGTAATTTTCATCATAGGTATACCTCAACTATGAGAGAGAAAATGAGAAAAAAAAATCCAGAAAATCACATTGTAGGATTTTTAAAGAATTAATTGGTAAATTCCTCTGTAAAATAAGTATTTGGTCACCTACAAACAAGCAAGATTTCTGGCTCTCACAGACCTGTAACTTCTTCTTTAAGAGGCTCCTCTGTCCTCCACTCGTTACCTGTATTAATGGCATCTGTTTGAACTCGTTATCAGTATAAAAGACACCTGTCCACAACCTCAAACAGTCACACTCCAAACTCCACCATGGCCAAGACCAAAGAGCTGTCAAAGGACACCAGAAACAAAATTGTAGACCTGCACCAGGCTGGAAAGACTGAATCTGCAATAGGTAAGCAGCTTGGTGTGAAGAAATCAACTGTGGGAGCAATTATTAGAAAATGGAAGACACACAAGACCACTGATAATCTCCCTCGATCTGGGGCTCCACGCAAGATCTCACCCCGTGGGGTCAAAATGATCACAAGAACTGTGAGCAAAAATCCCAGAACCACACGGAGGGACCTAGTGAATGACCTGCAGAGAGCTGGGACCAAAGTAACAAAGGCTACCATCAGTAACACACTGCACCGCCAGGGACTCAAATCCTGCAGTGCCAGACGTGTCCCCCTGCTTAAGCCAGTACATGTCCAGGCCCGTCTGAAGTTTGCTAGAGAGCATTTGGATGATCCAGAAGAGGATTGGGAGAATGTCATATGGTCAGATGAAACCAAAATAGAACTTTTTGGTAAAAACTCAACTTGACGTGTTTGGAGGAGAAAGAATGCTGAGTTGCATCCAAAGAACACCATACCTACTGTGAAGCATGGGGGTGGAAACATCATGCTTTGGGGCTGTTTTTCTGCAAAGAGACCAGGACGACTGATCCGTGTAAACAAAAGAATGAATGGGGCCATGTATCGTGAGATTTTGAGTGAAAACCTCCTTCCATCAGCAAGGGCACTGAAGATGAAACGTGGCTGGGTCTTTCAGCATGACAATGATCCCAAACACACCACCCGGGCAACGAAGGAGTGGCTTCGTAAGAAGCATTTCAAGGTCCTGGAGTGGCCTAGCCAGTCTCCAGATCTCAACCCCATAGAAAATCTTTGGAGGGAGTTGAAAATCCATGTTGCCCAGCGACAGCCCCAAAACATTACTGCTCTAGAGGAGATCTGCATGGAGGAATGGGCCAAAATACCAGCAACAGTGTGTGAAAACCTTGTGAAGACTTACAGAAAACGTTTGACCTCTGTCATTGCCAACAAAGGGTATATAACAAAGTATTGAGATGAAATTGTTATTGACCAAATACTTATTTTCCACCATAATTTGCAAATAAATTCTTTAAAAATCCTAAAATGTGATTTTCTGGATTTTTTTTTCTCATTTTGTCTCTCATAGTTGAGGTATACCTATGATGAAAATTACAGGCCTCTCTCATCTTTTTAAGTGGGAGAACTTCCACAATTGGTGGCTGACTAAATACTTTTTTTCCCCCACTGTGTGTGTATATATATATATACACATCAGATGATGTTAATAAAGTGAAGAAAAAAGATAAAGAAAATTGTGGACATGTACATTATTCTGTTGGAACCAAACACACATACACTTACTGTATAAACATACAAATGCGACAATCACATACAGCATGTTTTTGTTTTCCACTACATTGCTTTTTTAATTGGGTTAATTTTCCTGTGTTCTCATAATCAAAAGCCATCTTGTAAAGTGGGGAATGGAAACTACAACACATATAATTTTTATTTACATTTTCACCAACAGCAAAACAAAACAAACAAAATCCATGATAGCATTTCTGTGACTTTACAAAAGAGGAAAAAAATATCAAGAGCTTGATTACATTGGACGAAAGGCAAAAATTCTGAACACATTGTAAATGGCACATAACATATTCTTTCTCTTCTCTGCTCAGACATACAGTGTTGGGGGTGACAATCTGCGCAGTTTGACAGAGAAACTGCGTGCAGTGGCTCACACTCTGCAGATGAGCATACAGGGGCGCTGGCGTGTCAATACCAGTGACGGCCAGAGTTCCACTAAGCTTTCACAACAGGTACTGCAGGCGGTGGTGGACGTGATCACAGCATCCAATGGACTCGTGTCTTTGCTCAACAGGTGAGAATCACACAGTCTGGACCACAGAGCAATGTTTACCTGCATGTTTTCATATACAGGCTGTGAATTTGTGCATGGAGTAGTGTTGTGGCATTTGATTCTTTCTCAGTCATAATATGTATGTCTTTTTTTACAGGTATCAATTTGCACAGCAGACTGGACACAAAGCAAATGAGAAAGTTGCCACTCTGTGTAAAGATCTGGACATTACAGTGCATAAGGTAAGTGTGTTCTTGTTACAGTGTTTTAAAGGGAGATTTCACCCAAGAAATTGTCATTGTTTGCTCATCACGTTGTTACAGAGTATTTAAGTTGCTCTTTTCCATAAAATGGAAGTGAATGGGGTGGTGACTGTCAAGCTTCAAAATTACAATAAAGCAATAACTTTGTGTGAGTAACAGACTGAAATGGAAAAGGGTCTTTTTCATATATAAGAGGTCTTTATACCATTAAAAAAATCCTCATTATAAACAAAACATTTATTCAACCAAGCTCCAAAAACAGATATTATCGGATATATCGTTTGGATATTGTGAGATTTGTGATGTCACACGGGCAAAAACATTTGCATATGACTGCCTCCAGAGCAAGATATCAGCAAATACTTATATATCATTGCAACATAGGCCCTGCCCCTGGTGTTCTATTATAATCACTGATGCTTTTTGCACTGGATACAGTATACAGATGCCATTCAAATTTGTGACATAGTCCACAAGCTTAAGTCTGCCGACTATCAGTATGAGTAAAGGAACGTTCGCTGTGACGTGTCCTATTTAAACAGCTTGTTTGCATCTCTGTACAGACTTCAGAAGGATCCTAGCATCAGGAGTAAGTGAATTGTTTATTTCAATGGCATCTCAGATTGCGTCAGATTGTTATATGTTTGTTCGGAGCACTTGACTGCAGATTGTTTTGCAAACAATGCACAGTGTAATGGAGAGTTGGCAAATAAACTTTTGTTGAAAGATGAAGCAGCCAACTGTATTGAATCTGACAGCAGCTGCATCGCAAACTTTATTTTATAATTTTAATTATAATTATAATTATAATTTTATAATGCTTTGTCTGTATATAATGATTTTATATGGATAATGTATGGATCAATGCACTTGATGCAATAGCTAGGGGGCGTTGTTACTATTTCCTAGTCAATGACATTAGCCAATCATAACAGTGGCTGTTTACTGACCAGCCTTAAAGGAACCGTCCCCTAAAAACAGATCATTCAGACAGAAGGTCAGAATGAGGGTTGAAAATAAAAAAAATTCAGCATATAAATTTTTTGTTTTTTTTCTGCAAAAATGTTATTAACATTAGAAATGAACCTCAAGAAACATATTAATAAAGAAATCCATGTCATAACCCCTTTACAGTATGTAATTTTTTTCATTGAAAATGTCTGCCATATCTCACTGCATACCACAGTAGAGGGAAAATGTTTCAGGCTGTAGTGACTGAAATTATCAAAGTCAAAGACAGTTCTAGTGATTTTTAAATCTGTCCATGCTGCCTTTTTGTGGTGTTCTTTGTGTAGCTTGCCAACCTAAATATTTTTTCGAGATGCATCTTGCATGTTGTCCAAAAATGACTTTGTTTGTTTGTTCTGTGCCTGATACTCACAAACACACTATAATGCTGACAAACACTTGGTTTTGATTACACATATTCAATGGACTCGAGGGCTAAGGCTGTCCGAGAGAGAGGGGGAGAGGGGGAGAGAGGGGGAGAGAGAGGGAGAGGGGGCGTGCATTAAAAAAGGAAAATCTATTTCAAGATTTGTGTTTGCTATATCATTCGAAAGGCATCTGAACCATTTGCTTAATGTTTCTTGCAGATTTCTTGTTTGCTTTAAAGTTTCAATGACTTTTTGGAGCTGTTTGTGTATGCAGGGAGGGAAATAACAAAAAAGGGGTTGAATCGTGATGTGACTTAGTCTTCCACTCTGAGACCAAACAGCATTGCTAAAGAGGGGAAGGAAAGTGTGGAAATGAGAAAGAAGCTAAGTGGTTATGTGCATGTATGGAGAAACAATGTGCAATGTGCACACTAAGAATGTTGACACTTGATGCTATCAGCTCCTTTCTGTCGGCGATTAAATCACTAGAGTTGTTCTCTCTCCCTTTCTGCTTTGTCACTGGGTTTGTTTTCCTAAAGCTTATGGCATCTTTTCCAATTTAAATGCATTGTTTGTATACTTCTTGTTTATACTACATACAGTATTGTGGGTGTATCATGAGTGCAAATGCTTTCTTGTGCAACAATCAGGAACTTTTTCATGTAAGAACGGCAGCAGTAAGAAAGGAGTTAATGTACAAACTGAAAGCTGTTCTGGATCACCGATCCTTACATAAACATTCATACATAAAATGGGGTCCAAAAGTCTAAGACCACCAGTGAAAATACTAATGTTACACATTTCCGTTCAAAAGTTTAGGATCAGTAATAAAAAAGTTTCTTATGCTTACCATGACTGCATTTATTTGATCAAAAATACAGTGAAAACAGTAATATTGTGATATTACTGAAAAAAAATATTACTGGTTTCTATTTTAATATATTTTAAATGTTATTTATTCCTGTGATGGTAAAACTGCATTTTCCGCAGTCATTACTCCAGTCTTGTCAGTATCGCACGATCCTTTAGAAATCATTCTAATATGTTGATTTGCTGCTCAAGAAATATTTTTTATTATCGAATGCAGTCACTTTTTTGTACAAGATGTGATTTTTTTTCACATTAGCAGCATTTATTTGAAATAGAAACCTTTTGTAACATTAATGCATTTCTTTAGTCACTTTTAAACATTTTAATGCATCCTTGCTGTATAAAAAAAAAATTATTTTAAAAAAGTCTTTACTGACGCCAAACTTTTGAACGATAATGTGTATATATACATAATTAGAAAAACAGAAAAATGTATATTAAATTACAGCCGATAAATCCTAAATCAAAACGGTTCATATCTGATTGAGGTCAGAACACTCAACTCAGTTCAGTCTAAAGGTTTCTGGAAATAGAGTGTTCATTCTGCTTACGTTTAATACATTTCTGACATTTGAAGCCATGAAGACCATGCAGGACAGGTGTTAGGGGACAGGTGGGCCTCTGATCCTTATAGAAACCACATCAACTTAAGTCAAAGGTCATCATGTCAAGCAAACTTTTCTGGTGATACTAGTGTTTGTCATATGTGGATGACTGTGTCTTGCTCACTGGTGGTGCTGAGGTTTTAATGAGCAGATGAACAAATATTCAGTGTCTCCAGGGTTAACCCAGATATGAAGGGAAACAGAGATATAATTTTATCAGAGAGATAATTGCACCTGTGCGTGTTTTTTATGAATTGGCAGCACTGCCTGGGGAGTACACTCTTAAAAATAAAGGTGCTTCAAAAGGTTCTTCAAGCGATGCCATAGAAGAACCATTTTTGGTTCCACAAAGAACCATTCAGTCAAAGGTTCTTTAAAGAACCATCTCTTTCTTACTTTTTTATCATCTGAAGAACTTTTTTTCGCCCCAAAAAACCTTTTGTGAAACAGAAAGGTTCTTCAGATGTTAAAGGTTCTTTATGGAACCATTTAGACAAAAAGGTTATTCTATGGCATCGTGAAGCACCTTTATTTTTAAGAGTGTATGGAATAATTAGCAGCCAGCCAATGACTTTAACAAGAAAGAGAGAGAGGAGTAATGAACTTAGGTGAGGGAGTGAAAGATAGATGAATTAAAATAGAGATAAGAGGCAGAGAGTGAGAGAGGGTGCAAAAGGAAATTCACACACACACACACACACACACACACACACACACACACACACACACACACACACACACTGTACTGAAATACATCAGTGGATTAAGCAGAAAAGGTCACGTCGATCAGACAGAGGTACTGTGTGTGCTTGTTTTATCTTTTTTGCGCTGAATATATTTTTCCCTCGATGTTTACACATCTGAAGTTGCTTCAGAATATTTTTGTATAATATTTGCTGGTTTGTATTGAGAGGAAATGGTTATTTTATTTAATAAACAGCCTGTTTTGGAAGTCGTCTCTTATGTAGAGTGACTAAATTCGGATCAGAGTTAATTTGGCTCACTATGTGATCAATGTTAAATGATACATAAAGACCTCATAAAGGTTTAAAAACAGTAATGCTACAGCTCAGTTTACACAAAACTAGACTTGATATTTATATTTTTTGCTAGGAAATTCTGTCTAGAAGGTGGTACAGAATGGGATGCAAGCTAGACATAGTACAAATGCCTTACTGACAATGTAAAAATGTAGAAAGGTTTCTTTGAGGGTTAGGGGATATAAAATATCATCAGCTGAGTATAAAAACAATATAAGTCAATGGAAAGTTCCCACCATGATAGGAAAACAAACAGGTGTGTTGTTTATGCATTTGAGAAGTGTAAATGGATCCATGCAGGATGTAAGGCAGATCTTTTTTTAGTATCTTCAGGTCTGCTGGTCTGTGACCCCTTATTAGAGCATTTGATTTAGCTGTTTGTCTCTGCCTAGAGACAGAACATTTATATACTTTGGTTTGCTCCATTTTTTCATTGTACACAGCTGCAAATGCAGTTATTTGTAATGCCAATAAACTACAGAAAAAAGAGGGAGAAAAAGGTGTAGAAAGGGGAGAGAACAGCTGACTTGTGTTTTATCACTGAGGAAAGCTCTCTCTCTTTCTGCAGTTAATGATCATTATCAGTGTGAAATGAAGAGCTTTGTTGGGAACTAGAAGATAACAAGGTAAAAGCTTTTGACCTGAATGAAGCTTCTTTCTGTGAGGATGTCAGCCTCAATATAACTAAAGGACGAGGAAAACAACAGGACTGGAGAGAAAATTAATATCAGGTGTCTTTCTCCTTTTCAGTTTTTAAACTGAGCTTTGAGTTTTAGTTTTCAGTTATACATTTAGTTATGCATCTGCTCAGCTGGATGCATACAAAGAAAATAGGGCAAAAAAATTTTTAACCAGTGCAAAACAAAAGACAAAATATTTAGAAGTAGCAGCAGATGTTTTCTTCCATACTGTGGTGTACATCCGAGTGTAAACGATTTTTTAAATAGAAAAAATGAGGACAAGGACTTTGTTATGTACATTGGTTGTTGACTGGATTTTGAGATATGGGTGTTGCACTGAATAATGGAGGCAGATCTGAATGTGAGCTTGCACTCGATTGTAGGAAAGGGGTTAGGTTTAAGCAGACTGAATGATTGGAGAAGTCTAGTATATTTCAACAGAGAGAAGCATGTAGTTAGTAATTATGACATTTTTATCAAAAATAATGAGGGAAAAGAAAAAAAAGAAATCTGCATCTGATTAATTTACAATAAGAACAATAACATTTCCAAATTTAGAAAATAGTGTGAATTTTCATTTCATGCCGATAAGTATTTGTATTTAAATTTCCCTGTCTTGTATCCAGGCCCAGACAAACATTTACAAACTTTTTCTCCATTTTCGGTGCTGACTTTTGTGAAAATTTGCAGAATCCTGTGGAATGGATTTTAAAATGGTAACGTATTAAATGGTGCCGAGTCTGCCAACAAAGCCACACTGTTGTTTGTAGGTCAAAGGATAATCAAAGTCACAAAATTATTAAATAAGCAAAGAGGTAGCAGACATGTCTAATGAAAATAACAGTTGATTCTGTGAAATTCTGTGTAGTTTCTGATTCAGATTAGACTTGCTTCTATCTTTTCCTGCAGTGATTAAAATTAGATTTATTGTGGTAAATCAGTGAGATGACTTTCAAATCAGCAGTAAGGACTGACCTGTGCTTGAACTGTACCATAATGACCTATAAAAGGACACCCTGGCAGTTTTATTTGACAGGGTTTGAATATACAGTAGAAGATATTACACTAAATTACACTGAAGGCATGACCAGTGTGTGTCCTGTTTGACCTTCCACATCATTCCATCCTGTCATTCCCTTCAGTTTTACGTTTACATCTGTTTTCATGGCAAGGGCATCTTAGTTCCAAGCACTTGTGCATTAAAACCTGCTCGGAAGCACAACCGTATGCTTATCCAATCACCTCAAACAAAGCAGATAATTGCTCTCATTTAAAGTGGAATCTCAGCAGTCACTGCTGTGTTATATCGCCAACTCTCTGTCAGATCTCATTGTTTTTAGACAACATTTTTGAAGTAAATCTGAGTGGTGGTGTTTTAAACCCATTGTAAAGTGGTTGCTTACTTGCCCAAGTCAATATAGCCCACTCCCATCAGTAGTATTTTTCCCATTTGGCCTGTTGGGCCACATTTTCACTGACCACAATTGTTAAAAATAAATAAATAAATACAAATTATTTAAATTCATTTTATTTTTAAACATACTTTTTTAATTGAATGTTAAGCTTAAGTTGACAAGCAGTAGAATGAAAAGTAGTAATAGTGATTCTTGCCCTAACTAACTCTACTGATGGTTTACCTCTGAACCTGTTAGGTTTTGATGGACCACTGGAAATGAATGCATTCAAATGAAACTGATTGTGAGCCTAAATGTTTTTGTGTGTGTCGATCTCTTATGAGGGGAAGTGACACACCTGTTTAAATTAACGAGAAGTGAGCGTCACACATACCTCCCACAAAATTATTCAGCTGCGTGTATTGTCATATCTTCTCTCTCACACACCTGAGTCCAGTAAGTACATACTTTCAGATGGACTAACTCTGAATCTGTTTAGCTAATACAAACATATCTGAGGTTGGATATGAGCCCTTATTTGTTTTGGTTTTATTTGTACTGAACTTCATGACTGAGTGAGTTGTGTATTGGCTGAAGTAAATCTGTTGATGGTCTGGGATTCAGTGTTTATCTTCAGGGATGTTGCATAAGATCTGGCTCATCAGTAAATCAGGAGATGTGAGGGAGCACTTTTTCTCTTGCCACCGAGCGGCCAACCTAATCCTTTAATTAGACTATGATCTACATGTTCCAGTCATTACGTATGGGTGTATGTTTGTGTGTATGTGGTTCTTAGGTCTTGTACGGCTCCTGTAATGGATTAAACGGTTTGAGGGTTGGTGGCTGCATGTTAGCGGTGTGTAGTGTCACTCTGTTTAAGGAAGTGTTTCATTGAGAGGTGTGAAGGAGCTGAATCAGCCCTGGCATGAGTGGGTTAGGTAAACTCCCCTCATGTGTGTTAGTAGATCTCTGAATTCTAGATCAAACTCCTCAGTGGGTGGAAGCACTTGCATTTTTAGTAAATGTTCTCATTTCTCTCTCTCTCTTCCCTGTAGGAAACTGCTGTGTTTGAAAAGGAGAAGGATATAATTTCCATAGTAAGAGATCATGGGTCATCTGTCTTCACTCTTACTTTCTACATCTTTTGATTATTTGAATTATATTATATTATATTATATTATATTGTGTAATGAACTTACAAGGTTGTAAGCACATGTGCAGCTTATATTTTTGTTACAGTTCATTCAATATTATTTGTTCCCTTTATTAAATATTAAAAGTGTGATATTTTAACTTTTAATTTCATCATCATTGGGACTGTAGTGTATATTTTAACGTTATCCCATTTTGATGAATACAAAATTCAAATGAACAGCTTTTATTTGAAATAGAAATCTTTTGTAACATTACAAATGTCTGTCACTGTTGATCAATTTTCTTCCAAAAAACATTTTACTGACCACAGTTGAATGGTAGTATACATAACCCTCAATATTCCAATAATATATGTGATAATATTCGTTACTTCAGAAGAGATTATCCATCTTCAATTAACTAGACATTTCTTTTTCTGCCTCTCTGTCTCTCTCTTTAGTGTCGCCAATTGGTAGCAGTGTGTGATGAGATTTTGACCGAAACTCCATTGCCTCTTCTTACCCATACTGCCCAGCTGGAGAGTGTCGACCTGGTCCCAGCCTCACCAGGAGATCAAGTGGTAATGACTTGACTTCTTTACAGTAATTCATTTATTCTTTCTCTATTTCATCCTCTCTCCTTGTTGTCCAATTTCACAATTAATTGCAAAGAAAAGTAACACATTGAATTAAACATGAAATTTTGAAGTAGAAAGACTGAAATATAATTTTCTTGTAAAACATACTCCAGTGATCTTGTTTTAATTTTAACTTTGAAAAATTAAGTATAAGGTTCAAGTAAATTTCTATATTAAATGTTTATTTGGATACTTTGCTGCGGTTAAATTTACACTATAATTTTGTGAATGTTAAAGAACTAATGCTTACAGATGGAGTTTAAACAAAATCTTAATTTCAATGTCATCTTTCTCCTTCTCTGTCTCTCTTATCTCCTTCTCTAAACACAGTTCAAATCATTTCTACTCAGACAGTCACTTTACTTTGTATTGTATTCAGCTGATATGTTGCTAAGGGTGAAGCTATTTAAAGAGAGTTTAATTATGTAAAGCTCTTCCTTTCTTACCTTAGACACATACACTTGGCAGTTCCACAAAAGAGAAGTTCTTCTGTAAGGTGTCTGTGGACTGATAAATTATTCAATTAAAAATGGTATAATTGGTTTAAATTTGCCCTGGTTTATTAAAGAACAGTCATACTCTGAAGGCTCACATACTCTTTTTATAATTTTTGACATGTTTGAGGTAAATTTGGGTCCTTTTAAGGGCAGTCGTGGCCTAAAGGTTAGTAAGTTGGACATGTAACCCAAAGGTTGCGGGTTAGAGTCTCCGGTCCGGCAGGAATTGTCAGTGGGGGGAGTGAATGTATAGCACTCTCTTCCACCCTCAATACCATGACTGAGGTGAGACCCTTGAGCAAGGCATCAAACCCCCAACTGCTCCCCAGGTGCCACAGCATTGGCTGCCCACTGCTCTGTGTGTGTGTTCACTACTGTGTGTGTGCACTTGGATTGGGTTAAATGCAGAGCACAAATTCAGAGCATGGGTCACCATACTTGGCCACACTTCACTTCTTTATGTTTTGTGTGTCTTCAAATCAGACACAAACACACAATGCAACATGTATGATTACATTTGCAGTCATCCATAAACCATTCAAGGAAATCCAATAACAGGGTTTTACACTGTTCAGTGCTCAGTAGTTAATTGACAAAGGAATGTCTGTCAAAATATAAAAAATACTTGTGATTCTTGCCAAGTGAGACCTACCTCTACTGTTTCCTGGAGAGAGATTGTGGGGAAACTCATTAGGTCCATATTTTGACATAATGAACTGGCATGCTTTGGAGAAATCAAGTTTCAGAGAATATAATAATTGGACATGATCTATTATTATTGATCTGACATATACTAATGGATTCAGTTAGCCTGAGGTTGGACTATACTGGTTCATTGTCTCTTAAGCAGGAGGTCTTTGTACTTACAGCACATTTTCAGCACAATCAATACTATTTAGATCCAACTTGGGCTGACATCTGATACTGCAGTCGATTCATTGACCAGTACCATTTTGAACATGCTCCCTCAGTTCTCCTTTTGAATTTCTTGCCATAATTATGTCAGGATAGCTGAATATTAAAGCAACCCAGCGGGGTTGATTGGCCAATTACCAGCCTGGATTCTCATCTTGCTTATAGGAGCCAATATCAAATCCATTGAATTCTAGTTTAGCTGAGGTCTAAAATATTATTGGCTTGATATGCACATTATTTTTTCACATAGGGAATTGAGATCACCACCACAGGATCCAGAAATCATTTTGTCACTGGAAAAGCAGCAGAGGTAGGACAGGTTGATGGTACCCCAGTGCTTCATATATTTGACCAATATTGAAAAGTATCATTTTGTTTTTTAATGTATTTATTTAGGGAGAAAATGTGTGTTTTTCTAGCATAAGCAAATGAAAAACATTTCTTAAATTGTCTGCTGGGAGATATGTGAGGGTGTGTTTGCAGTGATTTCATGCATGAATTAATTGGCTCAGAACAGAGTGAGAAAAGGCTTAACTTCCTCCTAGGGAAAAAGTGGGCTAGTTTAAAGGGGTCATATGATGCGATTTAAATTTTTCCTTTCTCTTTGGAGTGTTACAAGCCCTTGATGCATAAAGAAGATCTGTAAAGTTGCAAAGACTAAAGTCTCAAATCCAAAGAGATATTCTTTATAAAAGTTAAAAGTCAACCACGCCTACCTAAAACGGCTCGTTCTAACATGCCCCCACAAATCTACGTCACAATGTGGGAAGATTTGCATAACGTCGCCCAAATGTTCACGCGAAGAAAGAAGCGGTCCAGCACATGTGGTTGCCGCAAACACGCCATCCACTCTTTCGTCAAATCCGCCGGCCACGCTGTTCTCAAGCCCGCCCGCCCGCCTCCGCTCACTCAAGCCCGCCCACCACCGCTGACTCTAGGCTGCCGGCCGGCGCTCATTCTAGCCCGCCGTGTGTTTCATTGTGAAAGCAAAACTACTTTGTTTGGCCTTCCAAAAGAGGACACAACTAGAAATCAGTGGCTAAGTTGTATTTACAACACTGTCCCAGAACAGTTCAACCCAAATATTCAGATGTGTCCAGCGCATTTTATGGAGGACTGTTTCCTGATCCTTGTAGAGTAGACTACAATGCCGGCTGTTCTGACTCACAGACTGTAAGTGATTAAAACGTGAGTTTTGAGCAATGTAGAGTAGCGCTTGTTGTTTGTCGTTTCTCCGATCACAAATGCAGACATGGTTTTATGTTTACGCGGCGCGATGCAACACAACTCGTAAAAAGACAGTATAAGTCATTATAATCCATAATTATGTCCCCACTGGATGCAAAAAATGCCTCGTTTATAATGGGCTTTAATGTTTTTGTCTCGTCGCTCCGGCCGGGACAAGGCATCACAATATGGTAAGGGGCGTAACATTTCCGTCACACGCTTGAGGTATTCGGCTAATCACAACGCACTGGATAGCTGGCCAATCAGAGCACACCTCGCTTTTCAGACCGATGAGCTTTGTAAAAATCGTTGCGTTTCAGAAAGGTGGGGCATAGAGGAGAAACAATAATGTACAGTATGTGGAAAATAATGTGTTTTTTGAACCTTAAACCACATAAACACATTTCATTACACCAAATACACAAAATAATGTTATTTTTTAGCAACATCATATGACCTCTTTAAAGGTGTCTGAACTCACTTAAAACAAGAATCATGGGTTTGAATTGTTGGCTCATTTTTCTTTCTTATTATGTATGACCTGAGAGAATTATATAAAATTATTCTTCAAAATAAACTGCCTTCTTTAGGGTCAGAAATAGGAGAAGAGGGAGTTGTGATGTCGTACCCTTTAGTTTCATCTAAAAAAAGTTTTATCTAAGAAAAGAGCGATATTATTCAAGACACACACACACAAACACACTAATGCACACACACACAAAAAAACATATTTTAACCTGCACTGCCATACAAAAGTTTAGGGGTGGGATTTTTTTTAAATAATTTTGAAAGAAATGTCTTATACTTACCAAGACAGCCTTTATTTGATCAAAAATACAGTAAAAACGGTAATATTGTGAAATAATATTACGATTTAAAATAACTGTTTTCTATTTTAATATATTGTAAAATGCAATTTATTCCTGTCATGGAAAGCTGAATTTTCAACAGCCATTACGCCAGTCTTCTGTGTCACATGATCCTCAGAAATCATTCTAATGCTGATTTGGTGCTTGAAACATTTATTACATTATTATCAATACAACATTATTGTCAATGTTGAAAAGAGTTTTGCTGCCTAATTTGTAAAAGGATTCTTTCATGGATAGACAGTTCAAAAGAACAGCATTTATTTGAATTTGAAGTATTTTGTAACATTATAAAACATTTTTACTTTTGAACAATATAATATATCCTTGCAGAATAAAAGTGTTATTTTATTATTTCCACAAATATTTCTGACCCCAAAGTTCTGAACGGTAGTGTAAAATAATCATCCAATCTTAAAGATGTTGATGCTGATTCAAAATTCACTTGGTTCAAAAAAGGGCATGTGCCAGTTTGAATGGGCGTGATGTTTCTGCTTGTGGACGGTTCCTTCTAAGCCACTGCAATCATTCCCTTGGTATTATTGGTAGTAGTGTTTTTGGTGCTGATATACTCAGTAGTGTGTCTTAGAACACTATGTTGTACATAACCATAAATCCTGTCTTACAGTCTCGTACAGAGATCTGTGAGAAGATTTTAGCGGGAGATGAGGTCCTTCAGGTCAACGGACAGATAGTGGTAAGTGGTAACAGTTCAATTGTAATGAAGTTTATGTACTAGTGTTATTTAAATAAAGACTGCTATAAGGAAGGAAATTAGACAGGGTTCCAATGAGAGGGGCTGAACCCCGGGTTAGCACAGTAAGACGAGCTGCAAGCTAGATTTGAGCAGATGTCTTTTGTCAACTAATTTGGATTATCAATCGTTTGTGGCCCAGTATCCTATGATTACTGATAGGCACAGAAGAAAAACAATGGTTATTCCAGACAAATTAAATCTCTATAGAAAGAGATTTAAAATTTAAAAAGCAATTTTAACTTTAGTACATAAAAAAATCTATCACAGTTTTCTGAAAATTACCTATAGACAGGTGCAGCAACAAGCATTAGTTGCAAAAGAATCACCGATTTGGATGCAAATATACATTTATTTCATGCAGTGTAACCTATACATCCTATTTCAGGTTGGCTGGAGCCGGGAAAACCTTGTTAAAAAACTGGAGGAAAATCCAAATGGAGTCACTCTGGTTTTGAGGAGGCTTCCAGGGTTCCTGAAACGCAAGGAGAGCCAAGCCAAGTCTGAGGTATTAGAGGTACTACTCATCCTTTTATTCAACATATGCCACTTCAAGCATTTTCAAAATACTTGTTGACATTATATATATACACAGTATCTCACAGAAGTGAGTACACCCCTCAGATTTTTGTAAATATTTTATTATATATTTTCATGACAACACTGAAGAAATGACACTTTGCTACAATGTAAAATAGTGAGTGTACAGCTTGTATAACAGTGTAAATTTGCTGTCCCCTCAAAATAACTCAACACACAGCCATTAATGTCTAAACCGCTGGCCACAAAAGTGAGTACACCCCTAAGTGAAAATGTCCAAATTGGGCCCAATTAGCTATTTTCTCTCCCCGGTGTCATGTGACTCATTAGTGTTACAAGGTCTCAGGTGTGAATGGGGAGCAGGTGTGTTAAATTTGGTTTTATCGCTCTCACTCTCTCATACTGGTCACTGAAAGTTCAACATGGCACCTCATGGCAAAGAACTCTCTGAGGATCTGAAAAAAAGCTCTACACAAAGTAGATAAACTTATTTGGTTCAGATGGTGTCAAGCGTGTGTGGCGGCAACCAGGTGAGGAGTATTCCAACGCAGGGCAGTATTCCAACATGATAA